TAAAATTTTACATAGTTATTGTTTTCTCAAACAAAATTAATTCCCGAAGATACGTACCCTATTAACTTTAGGCAGACAATCTAGTATACTGAACATAAGCTTAGCGTTGCCCTGCGGATCGTCCGGCAAACAGACGGCCAGTGCGTCGACCATCATTTGGTAGAGGCACTTCGTGAAGAGAGGTTCTGGAAGTTCTCGTAGATAATCCTTCAGCACGCCTGGAATAGCACAACGCTTGTTTACTTCGAATTATCGTGGGACAAACTCGCATATTTTGTGGCGCATTTTACCAGTGATGACATTAATATCCGGCACGTTGTCGGGTGATAAATTCACCGAGCGCGCGTTCCTCTCGAAAGCTTCCCTAAGTATCCTCTTCTTAGTCGCCGAACCGCAGAGTCTGTACAAACCTGTTACACAGAATAACATACGGTTCTTATCGCACGTACGCTCTCGATTTCGGGTCACTCGATACTCACCGATGATATCGAGGCCTCTTCTTTCCACCTCCTCGACGCAGCGCCACACGATTATCGGAACGTTCGGCACTCCCATCGCCAGAGCTGTGGAAACTCCGCCAGGAACTCCGCCAGTTTTGGTCTCTCGACTTACCTATAAAGTTAATAAAAATTATTACATCTTTGTCATAGTGTATAAGTAAAAAAATTATATCAATAGTTAATATGTCTGTAATAAAAAGTTCCAAAACTATAAACATTCTTACAACAAATTTTTATGTTACGTTGTATATATTACGAAATATATTATTGCTGACAAATGTTTAACTTTTAAATATTCTGTTTTCATAAATTATATTTTTATATTTTTCATTAAAATTTATATTTTTCATAAATTATATTTTATATTTTTCATTAAAATTTATATTATCCGTATAATGTCAATTATATACGGAAAATAATTTGTTGCAACAGCAAACTAATTTACTACATATGAACAGTTAAATATAATTCGCTGTATTAGCTACTTTTTTTTGCTGCAGGAACCTATTTTCTTGCTATGATAACAAGAAAATTTGTCCCTACAGCAAGACAAGTGGCTAACGCAACAAATTTGCTACAGATGGACAACTAAACATAATTTACTGCTTTTTTTGTTGCAGGAACAGATTTTCTTGTCATCATAGCAAAAAAATTCGCTCCTGCAGCAAAAAAAAGGTAGTTAATATAGCAAATTATGTTTAGTTATCCATATGCATATAGCAGATCTTTTTTTCCGTGTAGGAATTGTTGTAGCAGATGATTTGAAGATAATGAGAAACTCACTACTGTATCCAGATCAACGCCGAAGAGTGGCGCTACTCTCGTAGCTAAGGATATGACCGGTAAACCCCTTCGACGGAAAGTTTGTTGGGCGTCGGTGTATCGCAGTCTTAAGTAGATTGTGCCACGTGGTTCGACTTTGACGGCCAGTTGATGCACCGGTGACTCTTTCAGTAGAGTCGCCAAATGCACCGATCCCTTGTAACAGAGTTTATGCCTGTACTGTGGGTCCCAAGAATAAACGAGCAGATCCAGCTGCCGATTGCCTACGAGATCCAGCTCGAAGGTTTCGTCCCAGTCGAACATCAAGTCGCCGGTTCGTACCACCGTGCGCGCTTTATGTACCCTGTCGCACTCCAGTACGCAATACAAGTCTCTCAAGCCACAACTAGCTGTAAATTTTGTCCGCAAATTAGTATGTTTGCATTAAAGAAATTTTGTTAAGGCGTTATATGGTGTCTAAAATTGGCAACTGTAACTCTAAGTCCAGAAATTGGCATCACAAGATACTGCTTTCCAAAAAATTTAAGTTTAACTGATCAAATTCAGTAAAAAGAAAATTATACATCTCAGAATGTCTCAGAAAACACCCTATATAACGGACATTGTAAAAAGAGCGGATAGAGGAGGTCAAAACAATGAAAAAAGTCATGTACTATTTTGCGGAAATTGCAATATTCATTGAGTTATTAATTGAAACAGCCTGAGCTAATGAGCGTACCGAAAGCATCTCTTCGATATTAGCAACTCTCTTAGTTAATTTCTTAAAGCAACGATGGCGATCAACTAACGGCCATGCACCGAGCAAGATAACGCTCTCTGACAACCATGCACTGCTCGCTATTGCTACTAGCTGATACTACATGTATCTAAAAGCAGTCATTATATTTTACTCTCGCGTCCAACCTACTGTCTCCGGTGCGCTCATTGGCTCATTTTAATTAATAATTCAATGAGTGTTGCAAAATGGTATATGACGTTTTTTCTTTATTTTGACTCCCTCTATCCGCTTTTTCTTATAACATTCGTTACTTCTGAGTTACAACATTCGTTACTCTGTATAAAATAAATATTTTAATTATATACGATATTGTTGTTTTTAATATTGAGCAATATGTACAAATGTGATCGGTTCGTTGGACTCACCTAAATTTGGTTGACCTGAAGGAGTGGAAGGTGTAGTGGCAGCCGATGAGGTCGTAGTCGATCGGAGGCCGCGTCCCGCTAAAAGATGGACCCACAATAATCCGCTGACCCCACCTGCCAAATCGCCACCACTGGTCTCCCCGAGTGAACTCAAGAGTGAGCTTGTCGAACTCGGAGTGCCTACAGTTGGCGGTTTCTCTATTTTATACTTGAGGAACTCTGCAAAAGAAAAACATTCTTTCCACTTATTTCTTCAGTTATTCAGTTATAGAAATTGTTCTGATATCTTCAAATCAATTGCTATTTTCTTCAATCTAATATTGTGTAATATATTTATATAAAGTTTATATTTTATTTAAAATGTATTTAAAATGTATATATAGGGTGTTCCAGACTTTCCTTCGCAATTTTTGTGAGGACGTAGAATGAATTGAAGTGAACATAAAGGTCCCATACCGTCTTGCGATATTCGCAATAAATCTCGAGATATTAATTAAAGAAATTTGGTGAATGATTACGCGATATAGATAAGCTGTAGTGGCGCTGTCTGCGGTTGTATATTTATACATTATGTCAAATTTAACAAAAAAGTGTTCTACCATTTTGTAAATAACCACATAGATTTTTAGATATTAATTAAAGAAAATGTGTACATTATCGCGCAAAATTATGTAATAATTTTCTTTCATTAATAATTAAAAATCAATATGATTATTTGCACAATAATAATTTTTTATTCAATTCGACCTAATGTATATAACAGCACACTATAGCTACCATCTATCATTATCGCGGGTGATTATCCACCAATCCTTTTTAATTAATATCTCGACTATTATTACGAATATCGCAAAACGGTAGGACATAAGGAATATACTATATAGATTCTATAGGTCTTTATGTTCATTTCAATCTGTTTTATGTTCTTACAAAAATTATGAAGGAGAGTCTGAGACATCTTGTATATATGGGTCATTCCACATCAAATCATCTATCCAAGACTATATTGAACTGAATCTAACTTGTGAAGTACTAAAATTTAGCTTAAAGCTTTTAGTTTCCGGTGCTATCTGGCGATTTTGAAAAATGTCAAATAATGACCTTAAATTCGTCGGTCAAATAGAAAATGATAAATTTTTTTCTTTATTTCTTTATTTAAATCTTTATTTACAAGTGAAGTACAAAAATTATATTCAATGTAATTTTGCCCGCTAAATCCGAATCTAAAGTGAAAAACAAAAACAAAATTATATATTTTTACAAATAAACATTTAGTTTGTCATTTTTGAAAGATGAAAGTACAAAAAATACAAAAAAAATTAGATAATGCAAAAAAGAAAAAGCATGTTTTAAAAAGTAACATTATTTTCATCTTTCAGAAGTGGACACTAATAACAACTAAATGTTTATTTAAAAAACATAATTTTGGTGTTTTTACTTGAGATTCAGATTCAGAGGACAAAATTATATTAAAAATGACTTTTTTACATAGGCTTCATCAGCAAAAGAAATAGTAGATCTT